TTAAAAATATATATACTTTATATTAAACTTTCCATAGTCTAGTGATATTGTTTTAATGAGAAAATGAAAAAAAAAATATTTGATGTATTTAAAAATAATGGTTATGCTAGATATACTAGAGATTCCTATATAAAATTAAAGTAAAAATAAAAGTTACTATAGAGCTTCATTTTTGAAAAGCTGTGTGTTTTGCAAAAACAGTATAAGATTGATGTATGAAAAAAAATGAAAAATATCACAGGGCTTAGGAAACACCTTGCACAATTATTATGTTTCTCAACTTTTCTCTAAATGTTTTCAACTTTCACCCTTACCGAATTCTTGAACACAATCGCACCTAAAATTTGCCTGTTGATTTCCCCATTTTCACACAAAACTTCCTTTCCAAAGGTTTTAACAATTTCTTGATGGCAAGGTTTCCCAGTTTTATATACATCATGACCTAACTGATCACAGTTAATAATGAATGCACCCAATTCCTTCAAATGAGAAGCCACTCCTGACTTGCCACTAGCTATACCACCTGCAAAATAGACATATTTCATATTTCGTTAAGTTCATATACTGGGTCTAAAAAAATATCAGAATAATGGGTGAGAACACTCACTAATTTTTGGAGAAAATGCCACCTCCAAATTAGGAAAAAAAGTGGTACAAATTTTTCACTATTTTTCTTTGTCATATTAGAAAGTGTCTGCATCAATGTCACAGGATACGAAATAATTCATTAAAGTAAGTTTCCCTATAGACTTGCTACCATTCACCTCGCTCTTAAGTTTCCTTGTCAAAGATGAGCACTGTTTGGTTATAGTTTTTATATTATAAACGCAAAGAAGATCAACTGAGAAACTATATTTCATTTAACGTTGTCACGATACTATTGACGTTTCTGACTATTCAACTGTTATTTTATATATGGGCACAGCTTATCATCAGTGTGGAAGAGAGTTTTGCCTCTATCATATTGAAAGTTTCTAAAATCGACTCAACACACTCTTTTTGTCAGAGTCCAATTTGTCTCCTCTCAAAATTTCAATTCCTGAGAATGAAGTATCAAAGTCATTTATAATGATTTTAAATTATTTTTCTAAATCGTAGAGATAATTGAATTCGTCTACATTTTCTGCCAATATCATTCCTGTTTTGATCTTCAATATGCAGTGATCCGATTTTCTTTTCTCTTCTTGTATAGCAGCTATCCATCATTCTTTATATGATCCTTCTCCAGCTTCTTGATATGTTAACATAACAAAATCTTCATATTTTTAGGTCTTCTGGTAATTCTTTTTGATTTCGTTCTCCTGAGCTTCAATTATCCTCTATATCTGTTATCGAATGTTCGTTGTCTTTTTCTTCGTTATTGAAAATTATTCTTTCTCTCACATTTTCATCACCCTGTATATCATCAGTTGGAAAGTCATCATTGCCATGGTTTTCTCGTTTATCATTATTTGACATAGTCATGACATTTTCAAATTCATTACTGTCATTAGTTTCAAAATACAACTTCTCTGCAAATTATGATTTGTTTCTTTTTCAGAATCTCACAGGCAATAGCCATTTGGTGCGACTATCTGGTTTTTTCAGGCACCCCAATACCTTTGAATAAGCTTCAACTGCAAATATTTTTGCAAACGTGATAAATCTGGTTTCGATCTATCCATTTTTCTGCAGGTATCACATCCATGGAAGAAATAAGACTTCTATTCAATAAGTATGCTGAAGTGAGTACTGCTTCGCCCCAAAGTATTATTTTCAGGTTAGAATCAGAAACGAGGGCATAATCTTTTCTTTTACACCAGGTACGAAGCTCATTATTTATGAATTCACCTCCATTATTGCATCTAATTTTAGAAAGTCTCATGTTTTTGAAGGCTTCAACTTCACTCACATAGTTTTTGATGCATTGAAATACTTCACATTTTTGTTTGAGAAGGTATATCACGCACAAATGTGTGAAATCATCCAAAAATATCGGTATGTATCATTTTCCAACACAGGTAATTGATTGGTATGTACTACTTTGAGGAGTCTTTTTGCACGATATCTTTCAAGCAAATTTCACAAATTTACTTAAAATTTTCAGAATCTTCTCTGTCTAAGTTCATTTCATTTGTTTAGTTTTTTTATATTCATTAAACTCAAGTGTCCTAATTTCCTATGCCAGTTCATTATTTCTGATTGCTTGGTAAGTAAGGTATTTTCTGGTTTCATCTGAAAATTAATTTTATATAGTACCTACATTTCTTTTCACTCCCTCTTATATTATTTAATCGTCCTTTTTAATGAATACCTTTTCATTGCGAAAAAGGACTTCACCATTATTACCGGTAATAACATTAACAGACAGTAGATTTGTACTCAAATCAGGAACATAATGGACATTATTCAATGTGCATGATCCTATTTCGATAATACCTTTGCCTTAAGATTCCATTGATTGATTTTTCTTCACCAGTAAACTATCTGGCTTCCTATTTTCCACAATAAAGTCTTCACTTTCTTTAGTGTCGTTTGTCTAAAAAGAAACTTTATTTTGTTCATGTGAGGCTGCGTTTTTGCGAAAACAACTTTTTTTTTGATGGTTTGTTTTTACAGATATTGCATTTCATGCTTATTTTATTCAGGCAGTTCATAACGTAATGTCCTACATTTCCACACTGACAACACTTTTTTTAAGTTTCAGGTTTCCAATTGGAATGATTATTATTATACTGTATTTCCTTCTTCTGCTGAAGCTTCTTTAACCAGACTTGAATGTCACCACTTCATCTTCTTTGTTCAATTTTAGACTTGTTTCTTATGCAATTGATCTGGCTGTAAGCTGGATCAAAGTTTTCTGGTCTGTTTGTGTCGAGTCCCAAGCAGTACAAAAATGTTGGTATTCTGTTGGTAGAGTAGACATAACTTTTGACATGAGCATTTCATCAATTTTCTGATCCAAAGCTTTCAATTCATGTGCCAAATATTCCAATTTGTTGATGTGCGTTGATATATCTGAACCTTTTTCATCATTAAAGTTGAAAAATTCCTCTTCTTGTGATACACTGTTTCTGACCTTTGGTGTAGTAATGAATATTACTGTATTTTAATTCCAACACCAAAATGTTATTTTTAACACCTCGACACGTGTTTCAATCACCAAGCGATCATCTTCGAGAGAAAGATTAAACTAAATTACATACAACATTGTTCTTATTTATATCTTAGATATAAGGTATACTATAGTATACTATTAGGTATTGGTCCACAATCATTATTAATAATATTATTATGTTTACTTATTTTTACACTCTCATTGACATCTAGATGCCTGTTGTTGTTAACTTGGCCAACTAATCTTAATGACCTAAAGTCTATGGAATAGTTTTGTTGCAAAATATGATGGGCCACTGCTGATTTTTCCGGATCTTCCATATTTTCGGTGTGCTAAGTGTTCTTTATATCTCATAGTGGAAATTTCAATGAATGTGATTACTCTGTAGCCAAAGAGCTACTACTTAATATTGATGAGAATCAATATTTTGACTCCTAAGATGACTACCGCCACATCACATCCTTGAAATATTTTTCATGAAACGAATTCACAAAAAAGTTGTCCTTTTCAATCAAGAACCGGCTAAATTAATTATTCGATGGAAGCATGTGAAATAGAAAACTATTACAAGCTCATTTGTTTGTTTGATTCATTTGTATGAAGGCCAAAAAGCAGTCAGTACATAAGTCTGGCAGTTTCAATAGCAAATATCCAAAGTATAAATAGTGTAAAGAAACAATCCTTATTTATCTCATGATTTATAAAGAAAATGAAAACATTTCGGTACCGCTGATAACCACAATTCATCACTTTTATTCACATTCTAAAAACTCAAAGAAATCTGTCAACGTTACTCAGTCAGGTTAGCACAGAATGGTCTGCACTGTCTACAGCGTTGCCAAAATTTTCCATATTCCATATTAGAATCACAGAATATACCATGTTATCAATTTAATTCAATTCAATTCAGTTTATTGTCCCAAGAAACAATGAATGCTTATAATTAGGGACTATAACTAATGACTAAATATAATAAAATAACAGATATAAGCTAATTCACAATAAACAGCTGTTGTTTGAATGCCTTATGAAATTTGAGGGTTTCCAGGAGGCGCTTAATCAAATGTGTTGCAACTTTTCAGAAAAACTATAAAAATTTCATTACAATACTTTGATTGTAAGCAAATTTAAACCAAATTAATGTGATTGAGTTCTCGCCAATTATATTTTAATTATTTCCTTCAGAGCAGTAGCTACATTTTTTAAAGGCTTTATTTCACTAGAAAACAGGATTGGAAATAACTCAGCCTTTTTAAATTTCCTAACTGAATGATGGCAGAAATACTTAGTACCAATTAATGTTTCCAAGATAATGAATCTGTGAACATAAACATAATAAAAGATATAATTAATTTCTAATTGCCGAAGGCAGTAGTAATTTTGAATCAAGGAAATAATTGAATAACAATTAATATAAAATAATTAAAATTACAAAGGTATTACTAAAAACAAATATTTTCATTTCAAACAGCAAGTATTACTAGAAACTATTTCTGATTACCTGTCAACCCAATAATGTAAGGTGTCTTTGATATGCTACAGTTTGGTTCCACAGGTTTCAAAAGCGTCCCCAATAACCTTATCCGAGTTGTACTGGAACTAATTTTTTGTTCTTCAATTGGTTTTGGATTTGGTTCATCCATTAATTCGACTGGAAATATTTTCAAAGGTGCCAAACCACGTTCTTGCCTAACTAATAAATATTTCATTTCATCAATATCGTATTTGAATAGTTTCAATACTATCTACTGTGTTATTAGAATAAAATCACACTCACTTGAATTTATTTTTTCACCTCCTTTCATCGTTTCTTCACTAACTACTATCATTTCCATAGATGGATCTACAATGGCTGGTCCAAAAGGATCAGAAATTGGAACTATATTGTATTCTAACTCAGGACAAATGTCCTTCAAGAAATCACTGACATTTGTAACTCTAACTTCTATATCCTCAATCAGCTCCCAAAGGATTTTGCTTTGAAGCATATTTTCTTCAGTTACTCCTACCTAAAATAAAATTAAATATTGAATTTTCATTGATTTTGTCCGGATCACAAAACATTAGATAAAACTGGCATCTTTTTTCGAGCCATCAACAACTTATGTATCTGAGCACTGCTTACCTTAACTTCAAATTCTGCTTTCAATTTCTTCTTCAAAATTGACCAATTCGTAATTCCTTTCTCAGACTGAATAAATAACTTGGCTAATCCAGTCAAAGATTTTTTTGCGTAAATCAGTTTTTGTAAATCATTCCATCCTGTGAGTTTTGAAATTTCCTCGCAGTCCAAAATCCATTTATCTACCGGATAGCCATCTTTTTCATCAAATGTTCTTATACTATTCTCAACATCTCTAAAACTTAACGCGAATGATTCTCATCTTTTTGATTTTCCGCCTCTTCTAACACAACCGCCATCATCAGTATCACTTTGTTCGGAATCTTTATTTACTTCTGACTCCCAGTCTTCTACCTCATCATCTGTCTGTTTCTCATTGATTTCATTCACAACTTTCAAGTCATTCATAAAAGAATAAATGCAATCTAACACTTCATCACTATTACCCGGATAATCAAGATCAAGTATATGGCACAAAGCAACAAGATCAGGTAACTGCACTTCCTGTTTTATTTCACTTACCTTTTTTTTATATTCCTCTGAACTTTTATTCAAATTGAAACCAGAAAAAGCATGTAATGAACTTCTCGTTTTCCGAATTTCACCAGGTTGACCGTAGGCAATAACGTGTAACGCCTTAATCGCTTTCAACAAACCGCTAGACATATTTTTAGATATTTTCGGAATATCACCAAGGTTAGCCATTATAAATATTCTGTATAATGTCAAAAAACAGAACAAAAGTAATAAAGTGGGTATTCAATACTTCCTATAAATTCAGTGAAACAGAAATAAAGTACCTTATACAAATCGAGTCACGACTTCAAAATGAATAAGCTTCCAAACTATGAATAGTAAAATTTCAGATCAAGTGAAAATTTGACGTTTACAAAAGCCAAAATGAAATATTACAAAATTAGTAATAAAACAACTCAAAAATTCTTCAATTAATTTTAAATCAAACTGTAGCAATCGTCGTACTCGTCTATGTCTCCACTTGATGAGGATTAAAGGAGAATATATGCCTCCTACCTTGTCGGATTCCCAGTTACCAAGCTAAATACAGATGGTGAATCAAGGATTCAAATTCTTTCCATAAACCAGTTGATGTGCTTCAAACCTTCTACTTGCTGTCGATATGATGGTCTTGTCACCCTCTGTTCTCAGAAGATTATAATAACTTTCCTTTCTTCGTCTTTCCTTTCGTCGTATCGCCGTAGCTAACTTCGTCTACTGTTGGCTTAGCTGAGCTGTTCTCTCCTCAAACTTCGATTATTTTATTCCACTCTAATCCCGGACAGGCCCCCAGGGCTTGTTTTTTACGAATAAGAACTCCTCGTAATCGACCAAAAAATGTATTTCATCAACCAACTTGAACGTCAATATTCGATGAAATGTGTGCGTCTTTGTGCAATCAGGACGCGGCTCGACTTGAATATTACACCATGATTATTCGTGAATATCGTCTAATCGTCTTAATATATCACAAATTCTTGCCCCGTCATTATATATTCGTTTTTCACCCTCTTTCCCTGTTCTGTTATGACTTCTCCATGGTTTCCGAAAATATCCAAATCATTCTAACCAAAAGTTAGATACAGCGCGATAAAAACATCAAAACAATAAAATATTAATGAAACTGAAAAATGCAAATAAAATCATACAAAAAATGATCATATATATATATATCTAGCTGTCGAAAGCGCTCTCATATTGTGGGAAGGTCCGTACAAAATCATGAAAAAGATTAATGACCTCGTCTACCGAATCCATAAGCCACCTCGAGGAAAGCCTAGGGTCGTCCATTTTAATAGACTGGTTCCTTATGCTGGAAATCACGACCAAGTTCGCGCTTTCAGACCACCAGAGGATGAAATGACGTTCCAGCAATTCATGTCCTTATACTCGAACGGACAGAAGTCGTACATGGGGTAACTCGAGAAGAGTCACGAGAACTTTTCAAAGTTCCAGTTAATTACGCCCTAGCTCACTGCGAAGCAGAGGATCTCCAAATGTCCAAGGGCATCGCTGTGGTATTCAACAAGAAATTTGGTCAGCTTCAAACATTACGAGAACAGAATCCAGAAGTCGGAGGAGTGCTACAGTTGACGAAGGGTCAGAGAAACATCTTCTACTTGGTGGTCAAAAAGCATTCTCGAGACAAACCGTCCTATGAAGATGTCTGGAGGAGTCTTACTAGACTGAAGGAGACGATGCTCGACCAGAATCTCGTGGAGTTGGCAATCCCGAAATTAGCCTCTGGGCTCGACAGGCTGGACTGGAGAATTGTGAGAAGCATGTTGGAAACGTTCTTCAGATCCAGCGGCATCCAGATTTTGGTGTGTGGTAACCATCTTCCACGACCGAGCACAAAGACTGTGGTGTGTTGCTTCCATCAAACTTCACAGTGCAAATATGGAGAGTTCTGCAGGTATCGACACACGCCAAGGATGACATTTCGGGGCGAAACATCTTTAAGAAGGGGGCAATGTAATGAATCTGAAGCCGGCCCTGACCGATGTCCCAGTCAGCAAACGCATGACGCATCGCGAAATAGCGCGAAAAGTCCGGATGGGTCCCGAAATTCGCAGAGGGATCCGGAACGTTCGTTGACGATATAAAAACGTCGCTCTCCGTCCCGAAGAGTAGTCTGTACCAAGAAAGCGAATCGAGCGGTTAACAAACGGTGAAGATAAATTAAGCGTTAGGTACTGAGTGGTGTAAATAAATTAGTTGTGATAGTGAAGTATTGTTAAAATAAATTTATTTAAGACAGTTAATTCTTTAATTCGTTACAATATGTATATATGAATACAGTAACATTGTATCCAGCTGCTAATCATGGCCAAATGGAAGAACGAAAAAGTTATTCTAAGCTTGAAAAGTATGTTTTCGTAAATCATTATTGTAATTTTGATTTAACGGTATTCAGATGACAATTGAGAAGTTAATGTTAACAGCCTCCGCCGGTTAGGAATTTTGAACGGCCGGTGGCCGTTTCAAAATTTTCATATTCTTTTTGATATCGCTTTTGAGTTTTTTTTCAGTTGTAAATCAACCCTCGCTGCACATGATTCTCCCAATATTTCTAAAGAAATTTGGTCGTTGTTGAAGCGAACTCGCGAACACAAAAAACTGGCGTTGTTTATGAGATTGTTGTGATATTGTTAAGCTGTTCCATGACAACATGATATTGGGATTTTTCTATAGAATTACGAGGTACGTGGTTTGTTCTTTCCTCGGACTTAAAATGTAATCTTTCAGCGGTATTTTGAAAAATCTTCAACGACACATGACCGATACGTAAATAACGGATTCGGTTGTTATAATTCTCGGATTACAATATTCGACCTCATCCGTTATTCCTCATCCTCATCCGTTATCTATATCGACCTTGTAACGTTAATAACTATTTAAGACCATGATGAACTTGTTAGGAAGGTCGAACAAAAATGTTTTTTGATATTAAAAGGAAGTTGTTTGTTTTTAGGAAAGAAAGTTTTTGGCTTTCTACTACTCTATCTTGATACAAAAAAATGTGGGAATCTTCCAAAGAAAGGAAGAAAGTAATCAATTTGAAAATAAGTAACTCTGGTCATGGAGCCATGATCATGATCTACACATCCATGTATAGAGTTACTTATTTTCAAATTGATTACTTTCTTCCTTTCTTTGGAAGATTCCCACATTTTTTGTATCAAGATGGAGTAGTAGAAAGCCAAACACTTTCTTTCCCAAAAAAAATTAATCACTCCTAAGGATATAACCCCTTCAATTCAAGTTGTTTATTGTTTTGATCATTGTAATGATGGGTGAACAGTTATCTGTTGATATGTATGATACCTCAAAGTACTAAATAAGTCTCGTTGTTCTGTTGGGATATCTCTCTTTGAATAAAGATTTCATTGAGATTGGGGCAGTTAATAAATTTTTTTATATATTTTGTAACAAACACGTTAACACTACACTTGCCTGTCTTCTATTTTGTAGACTGAGTATTTCAAATTTATTTCATAGCGCTGCTGATCTAACTTTATTATAGTCAGGGTATGCCTTATATTTTTTGTAATAAAATATCTCCGATATCTATTTTGAATTTTTTCTAATCTATTTTTGAAAATATGAGAAGGATGCCAGACTACAGCCCCATATTCAGGTTTAGGTCTGACCAAACTGTTATATAGTGTAGTAATCACTTCAATATCATCGAAATGTTCACCTTGTCGCCTTACAAATCCCATAGTTAGTACTGCCTGAGATGCTATGTAATCCAAATGTGGTTTATAAGGGAGTATGGTTCATCAACGTTTATTTTGAAAGCCGTATATTGGTAAATTGTCAAGGAGCACCTATACACTCGCAAATGATATTCTGTGTTGACAAATTTACCTTTCCGCGTTCCATCTCTTTTTTCTTCTAATAAACTGTTAGACTTCGTTTAGTTCCGATAGTCTCTAATGTGTGAACTCTATGGAGATCCCATAAATTTGACAGAATTGTTTCTGAGAACGACAAGCAGTCGACAAAGTGAATTCAGATAGGGAGTACCGATCTCTTTTAATTAGAAGCGAATCATGTTATGTGATGTATAATGGCAGTACCCTTTTGTGTTTGATATTATTGAACGTTAATTTGTAGTCTGGCTCTGTGCCAAGTAATTTTGTGTTTTCTGCTGAAATGATTTTGGTGTGGCCTAAATTGAACTGTATATTGTTTATTGTTTTTGGGGACTGTTTATTTTATTTGAATGAATACCATTAGACTTGTCTCATGTCAAGTGAATGATCTGTGGAGATTATTTTAATAAACTATCTATTAAATAGATTATCAACTACGATCACTCAGTAACAGTTGACAAAGGATTTGTTCTCTATCAAGTGATCACAAATCCCTGAGATATCTTGATTTTGTAGACCATTTATCGAACCCACGGTAACAAGTAACACAATTCACATTTTATAATAATTTTCTCTAATTACTTTGAATTCATTGAGGTGTACAACCTCACATACCTCATGGCAATATTTTTCCCAGTTCGCTGATAACAGTACTGCTGCTTCAATGACGAATACTTTTGCTGAGGTGTTTTTGATGATGTTTTTCACTTGTTCTGCAATAGCAGGCCAAACTATGGAATTCAGTTTATTCATTTGTTCCTAGGAAATAAAAGACAAATGATATATAAATCATTATTTCATAAATACAAATAAATCATGAAATATTCGGAAGATGTGAACATTTGAGTTTTTTGTTATACAAGGTGTTTCCCATGAAATATCGCATAGAGTGATTATTAAAAGGTAAATATCTACAAAAACTAAACTATGAGTGATGTACAAAAAGTGACTCTCTGGAGAAAAATAAAACGTTGAACAGATACTTTCAAAATAGAAGTACCTCAGTTTTCA